ACAATGTTTATTATTCCAAGATTAAAACTACTAATTAGCAGCCTAGTTAAAAATCATTGTGTGTGTGGCACTGTGGCTCAGGTGGTAGAGCCTTTAGGAAAAAGAGGCTCAGGAACTGCTCCCAGGCCCTGAATTCAAGCCCCACAACCGACAAGAAAAAGACAGCAAAAATCAAGTGTGAATTACTTCCTTTCTTAATGTTTTTAATTATTTAAAATACATTAATTTTGAAAACATCACTATGCTGATGAAAAGTTAATATTGAACTCAGAAATTGATAGTGACTGTTACTATTTTTTGTCTTTAAAAGTAAATAACCTATCCCATAATTTTCTTCAGATTTACATGCAAACAGCCCTTTAGATGATAGATTTTGCTTGAAATTTTTATTTATTATTTTAAGAGTGTTTTGAAATTATTTTAAATCTTTTTCTAGAAATAAACATTTCAATTAGTGTTTTTATTTAGATAATTTTATTCACAATATTTAGGGATAAACTTTTACCTTTTAATTATGTATTTGAAGTCCACATTGAAATTGCAGATATCATTTTTATACGTTTCAAATAAAAATATGCATTTGAAAAATCATAAATTTAAAATGTATTTTGCTATCTAAATAGTTGTTTTTTGTTCATGTTTGTAAAAAATATTATTGTTGTATTTTTTGAACGTGGTGGATTTACCAGACGTAAATATAGTTTTGAAAAGCACATTCTGACAATTGTTTGACTCACAAAGTAGTGTTACATGGCACAAACATTATTTCTATGAGTAAAAAAAGTATATGTTGAAGTATTTATATGGTTCTCTAGATGATTTATATTTTATGACTAATTCTTTTCATACTGACAGGTTGATTGTGAGCACTGTGTTTTTCCACACATACAAACAACTTCAGCTTCCTGTATTTCAAATTTTGTCATGGTAGAGTGAGAAAGAGTTAAGTACGAAGCTTAAAAGCAGCTAATCATCTCCCCTACCTCCCTATCCTTGCAATGAAATGGCAAGAGCAAAGGTAGTGGAAGTTCTGGCAGACCACTTGTTACTGTTGATTTAAGTACAAACAGTGGTGGAAGTGTTTAGTCCTTGGGGAAATTATGCCATTCAACAAAAATGCTGAAGTTATTTTGATAAGAAAATATAGTAATGGTCGAAACTATAATCAGTATTGACCTAAGCGGGGCAAGGATGAAGGGCTGCAGTGTTTGCTCTTCCTGATGAACAAAGATAAATTCACCTAGAAGAAGAAATTAAGTATTTTGGTCAATTTGCAACAAAATGGTGAATGAGCTGTTTATTTTAGAACTAAGCAGAAAGTTGTGGGAAAGTAGTTTGTCATTTCCATTTCTGGCCTGATTTCTACTATAGATTTGGAAGAGAATACAAAGCTGTTTAACATACTACAAATGAAACTTCAATAGGGCTTATTAAATATGAACCTATTTTTCTTAGCATTTTATTTTGTATACCCAGTAACACCAGAGATGCTGTTTTTTCTGAGGTTTTTCCATACTTGACATATATTCCTCTAATTGTTGAAAGAATATAATTTATTTATGCTTCTGCTCTGAGACTCTATCAAGAAATGTACTCATACCTTTTTTTGTTTCCTTTTATTTAAAAATAGAATCATTTTCTAGAATTACTTTTTCATTAGATGTTACAGCCTGCCAAACCATATTTTTTTTATCTTCTCAAGTTCTAGGAATTTCAATTATAGCAGATTTAGGACTACCTATTCTAGAGAAGCGTTTATATGAAACATCAACAAAGATCAAGCTATTTGTTTTACTTATATAGCTGGGATAAGAAATGAATGTACTATTGGTCTCTCTCTATCTCTGTCCTTCCTTCCCTCCCTCTATTACTCACCTGATCCTTCCCCCATTTTCCTCCCTCATTCCCTCTTCATTTTTTTTTTTTTTCTTTTGGTCTCATAGCCCAATCTAGCCTTGAACTGTATATTCTGCTGTCTCTATCTCCTAAAGACTGGGATTCTAGACATATACTACCACACATAACTAATTTTCTGGCATAGTAAATTACATGACTCTAATACTTACTTCATGTCTACATGTGCCTATAATAAACAGATGTCATTGTTTGGAAATCTTCATTTTGTCCTGTTTCTTTTTGGGGATTCAGGGAATTTGACTTTTCTTCTGATTGGAAACATGTTATATGCTGATGTCTAACAAGGGATGACACACACCTGTAATATTAGTATTAGGGAGACAGATTAGGAGGATAAAGAATTCAAGACCAACTTGGACTACATAGTGAGAAACTATCAAAAAAACAAAAACACTTAAGACCACAACCAAAGTGTCATACCTAAACTGAATATTATTCTTGACTAGATAGCATGTCTTTGCCAGGGTTATTTTGTATATATTATTTATTTTTCTTATTTTTGGTTATTTAGGCTAATGAAATTAGTAACTTCTTTGATGAATTATTCATAGAAAATTGCATACATACCTTGTTATATGTCTTATTAAAATTTTGACTAATATTTTCCTCTGACTCTGGTCTACTGGTTATAAATACTTAGCAAAGAACATTTTGTTTGAGATACTTAAACACCAGTGACCTTTGTTGAATGGCAACTCCTTTGTGCAACTACTTAAAGATAATAAAAATATTTAATTAAAAAAACTAGGGAACCATTAGAGTCTAGGATACATGCCAAATGGAAATATTTGTGAAGTTAGATGATCAAATGAGAAAGACAGCAGGAATACTGAATTTTATATATCAATATATACCTCTCGTTCTCTCTCTTTCTCTTTACACTTCAATATGATGCTCTTTTTCAAACTTAACACTAAGAAACAAATATCATTATTATAACCATATTACAACCCAAAAGAAAACAAAGGACATCTTCTTAATTTGTCTTATCATTTTTAGATGACCATATATTCTTTACCTCATATATGGTGTATACTCATGCACATCTGAAGGAAGCTGGGAGGGGAGGGCACAGAGTCATTGGAAAGCAGGTGAAAAAGTACAGTAGAGGGACCCATCAGCTGTACTGGACATGGGTGAAAGTGAACTAAGCAATTCAAGAGCGGTGATGGGAGAGAGGGATTGGGAGAGAAAGAGGAAACAGCTGATACTAAGCAGGAGGAAAGAAATGAATGTATCACCTGATCTGGAAGAAATAGTTTTATTGTTAATTTTCACATAGTTCATAAGCTTTGTAGATTAGAATGACAATGATTAACCTGTGAAGGTTAAAATGTGTTTGTGACTTTAGCTAAATATAACCACACCACAGTACTGTGGAATTTATGTAATTAATCTCAATAAAGTTATCTTTGGGGAGGGGAACCATATTTCAAAGAAGGTATTGGACTGTGAAGTTAAATTATTTGCATAAAATCACATGGCTGGCGTCTCATCCTACCAAATCATACTGCTTGTTAGTCTAAGCTTAATTAAATATGTGTAACTAATGCTAAGACTAATATCCTTTGTTATATTTGATTTGATCTTGCAGTTTTTGGGTTTATTTTCAGATTATAAAAGAACAGCAAAGTTTGGAATTAAAAAAAAATTTAAATGCTTGATAGCTAATTTTAATATATCAAGGAATGATCGCTGTCTTTAGCACTGTCAACCTGAATTTGAAACTAAAGCTATTCAACCGTAGTTTTGACTTCAAATAAATTATGGTTTATCTTACTCTGAACTATTAAAAGCTATCAAAAAGACCAAGAAACCTTTGACACCGTGTTTGATAGCACTAAATTAGGACCCTATACGTGTTTTAAGTTAATATTGACTCAAATGAATTTATGCTTTATTCTCGTAAGTTTTAATCATATGGAACATTTTAGTAAGCACTGTCAGCTATACATATCTTAAGTTAATATTATTGACTCAAATAAATTCATGCTTTATTCTCCTAAGTTTTAATCATATGGAACATTTTACTAAGCATTGTCAACTATACTTAATGTCTCCTTTCCTTATATTATAATGTGTAAGCCATGGGCTGGGAAGGTTCCTCAGTGGTAGAGTGATTGCCTTGCATGCATGAGGTCCTGGGTTCAATTCCTCAGCACCACATAAGCAGAAAAAGCTGGAAGTGGCGCTGTGGCTCCAGTGGTAGAGCACTAGCCTTGAGCTGAAGAGCCGAGGGACGGTGCCCAGGCCCAGAGTTCAGGCCCCACGTCCGACACACACACAAAAGTAAGCCATTATTAATTGTTTTGTTATACTAATAATTTTGCTATGGTTATTACAGATTCATTCACAAATACTTTACATTATAAATAAACATTTTTTTCCCGTAAAAGATAGTAAAAATTGTAGCCTTTATACATCACAGCTACTGTGTTAGCTATTTGACTCTGTTCAAAAAGCAGTCATAGACAGTAACTAATGAATGTAACTGAGATCTTCTAAAATTTTATTCCCCAAGACAACTGAATTTGGTCCTTGGCTATAGTTTATACATCCTTGTTCTGTAAGAAAGTTATTATTAGTGTGCATCCTAAGTTATTCAAGGTGTTTTAGACTTTTAGAGAAAACTGAATATCAAACATGTACATTGTAACTATATAAACCATTTGAGTAGATAGCTTTGTGCCATATATATATATATAATTACATACATTGTAGAAAGTTAAAATATTTAAAATTATAAATTTTAAATTATAGTTTTAGTGGCCAGGCACTGGTGGCTCACACCTGTAATCCTAGCTCCTCAGGAGGCTGAGATCTGAGTGAGGATCGTGGTTCAAAGTCAGGCCGGGCAGGAAAGTCCATGAGACTCTTATCTCCAATAAACCACCAGAAAACTGGAAGTGGTGCTGTGGCTTACCTTTTGCTGAAGAGCTCAGGGACAACATTCAGGCTCAGAGTTCAACCCTACAACTGACCAAAAAAAAAAAAAAAAAAAAAAATATATATATATATATATATAATTTTTAGTTACTTTTCCTTAAGCTACAAGTCTTATCCCCATCTCCTTTTTTCCTCAGGGTGATTCTATCCAAGCAGGCGATGATTCACCATTCTCAGATTCTGTTACCTTGGAACAAACTACTAGTAACATTGGTGGATCCAGTGGTCGTGTTAGTCTCTGGATGCAGTGGGTGCTCCCTAAAATTACCATAAAGCTCTTTGCTCCAGACCCTGAAAAGAAAAACACAGGTAGGGGAGAACTTTTCTTCTCTACTGGAACGATCAAATATTAAGCACTACATTTATAAGAACCATATACTTAAGTTTGTTTATTGTCATTTATAATTCACTAGACACATCATTATGCCTAATTCAAGTTTTTTCAATTTGTGGTGATAACTAAGGTTTATGAGTACATATTTTCTTTCATTTTATAGTACCTCCATTTTGCTTGTTGTATTAAGATGTACACTAATAGCCATGGGTAATTATATCACTATCATTAATAATACTGTAAAGATCCTTGACTGATGTTGGATTTAGCACCTTAAACATTGATTGACTTTTTCCTATATTGAAATAGATGACTTAGCTTAATTTTAAAGCTTATTGATATATACTTGATTATAGAAATATGTATGGTCTGTTGCTTCTGTAGATATTAAGGATGTATGTGCCAATGTGAAATAAGAAGTTTACTATTTGTTATGAGAGTCTATATTTATACAGTATTTTCTTCTTTTTGCAGAGGTTTGTATGGTCAGTGAGCTAGAAGATCTCAGTGCTTCCATAGATGTGCAGGATGTATATACCAAAGTGAAATGTAAAATAGAGAGTTTCAATATTGATCACTATAGAAGCAGGTAAATAAGGAATACAGAAAAATATGTTCTTTGAACAAAGTGACTAAGAATTTTTCTATTTAAGTTTGGCAATTTTTATTACTTTATTTTTAAAGGGGGCTATTAACAGATGAATTGTTCATTTTTACTTAATATTTATATGGGGTATGATAATACTGTGTTTTGTAAGAGGACATGTATCTACATAAATAACTTTGCCATATTAAGTGAAATAAGTTAGATACCTTAACACAACTTATTATATGTATTATATATTTTCTATCATGTCTGGAACTTATTTAACAGTTCTGTTGTGTACCTCTATTCATTTCTTATATAATCTATACTAAGGTAGAGCAACTTCTCACATCCTTTAGCACTTCGACAACTCTTGTACCATTGATATTCATGTGGTGAATATTCCTAGTATGGCAATGTTCCTTCCCTAATAAACTTTCATGTAAGGTAGATTATATGCAAATACGTGCTACAGAGGCCCATTTGTTTCTGCATGTGGCCTAAAAATATTTTTCTAAACATTTTCTAATTCTAATTTAAAACCATCTAAATTTTGTTATCATGTATGTCCCATTGTTTATACCAATAATTTCCAAGTCTTTGAAACTGAAAAATGTCATAACTTTCATGTAGAAAATATTTTGCTAAATGTATATTCTTATATTACTGAGTATGATTTTTTGTCATAGAAATAGGAAATTAGTTAATTGAATTTTGATGGTTATCTCTTGTGTCTCTTTCCCGTGATAGTTATCTATACCAAAACTATCTTTTAAAGTGATATAAAAATACAGTATTAGAACTGAAGTTTAAAGTTCTAAGCTTACAGGAGGGGTAATAATGCTCGATAGGAAGTGTACTCATTACCTTACTCACGTAACTGTAACTCCTCTGTACAGTATCTTTACAATAAATTTTTTTTAAGTTCTAAGCTTACTATAAGTTAAGGTTTAAATAGTTAATTTTGAGTTTGAGTATACATTATGTGCCAAACTCTATAGTAAGCACACTGGATTAGTGTGAATAGGCATAAATTCTCCTTTATGGACCTTAAAAGCTTATGAATGAGCTAGAAATAGTTGATAGAAATTATCAACTAACCACATACATCATTTATGATTTATGATTAGGGGAAATGCTTCTATGCAGAACTATCAGTGGGTGGTGCTAATGTTGAGTGGTTCTATCCATTGCATTGTTTCATCCATGTTTTAGTTTAGTATAGCACTGTAAACTTTAGAACTATTGGGTAGTTGTTTATGCTCAATTTTTTAACTTGGAGAAACTGAAGAGAACAGATAAGGTAAACTTATGTTTTCCAGGCCAGGGGAAGGTTGGCAGTCAGGACATTTTGAAGGAGTATTTCTGCAGTGCAAAGAAAAACCTGTGGTGAGACTCATTTAGTAATTACAATTGTTAAAAGTACATTTTAAATTGTTTGTCTTTGTTATTTCACTAATAGAACTATTGGTTACAAGATAGAATTAGACCTCAGCATATAAATTCTTTTTACTCCTTCCATAATTTGTTATAAATTTAAAGCTACTTTTAATCTGCTCATGTTTTGTAACCATCTTCCTTTATAGCAGTTAAGTAAATCTATCAAAAACACAAAGGTAGGACTTTTATTAGTAAACTTTATATTCAGTGTATTGTTATAGTGACTTTTTGAAAGATTTTTGCCTTCACAAGTGAGTTTATGTTTTATTGTATTTTCCCACTAAATAAAAGTAATATACACTAAAAGCAATTTTTTTTCCTTTACTTCCATTCGCAATGCTTTTGCAGATGGTGGTTCAGACAAAGGGCCAAATCTAGTAATGGCTCAGACCTAAACCTGTACAAACTTGAGCAGAATTAAAATCTATCCAATTTTTTTTTTGCTTATGCCTTTTATTGCTTTTTGTCTTTTCACCTTCTTTGCTCCTGTCCATCACCTCAAGCCTTGGGGAAGAGTGTTGGTCTTTGGGGCAATGTGGAGGTGTCTTCCTTTCCTGTACTGACAAGCTGAACAGACGCACCTTGTTGGTTCGACCCATCAGCAAGCAGGACCCTTTCAGTAATTGCTCTGGCATCTTTCCTTCTGTAAGAAATCATTTTAAAATTATACTACAGAACATCCCTAACAGGAATCCAGAGAGAGAATTGTACTATCCACAGAGTCAACTCTTGGTTATCATTTTCCTTCATTTCATTCACTTCAGAAATGATCTAAAAAAATGTATTTTTATATCATAAATTGATTTTCCACTACAATCGATTTCTGAATCAATTGTAAATACTGATATCATTTGGGGTTTATAAACACTGACCAATTTTACCATCACCATAAGAAAATCACAGTAAGATGTTAAATATTATGTTTTCAATACTATACATATAGTGAATGATCAAGAGTTGACTGGTAACTGTATTTGTCATTCCTTTTGTGATTCTTGCTGAGATTGCTTTATAATTATTGTTATTTCTATTATGTCATTATCTTTTTCTTGCAACTAATTCAGGATCTTATGTAATGCTCTCTTAGACAAATTGGTACTTAAGTTATTTACTGATACAGACCTTTATAACATGACTTAGAAATTTAAAGCCAACATTTTCTAGTGGTAAAACACATGTTCTTAAAATAAGTATTTTAAGTGACATTTTAGGTAATTAAAAAGCACAAAAATTTTCAGTATTAAGAGCAGATAATAGTGTTACTGTTGAAAAATAATTAAATTACTAGAAACATTACTTTGTTTACAGCATTCCGATTACCTATTTGTTTTCTTATTTATACCTTGAAAAAGATTTAAAACATATATTTTAACATGAAAAATATTGTAAATTATTTTCTTTTTAAAACAAATTTTAATGTTTAATGGGTTATTTATTTTTCTCATTTGATTTTGGACTTTTCCTTGTAGTCTCTTTTTGTACTAGAAAAATATGTATCTGTCAATGTGAGTTCTGTTTAGGTTACTTTTTTATGTTATTAAAGACTATGAAAAACAATCTAAATATCTTTAGAGGAAAAAGCATAACTCATTGTTAATTCCTGTAGAGATTCCTTTATGATTTCTTGTAAATTTTAAAACTCAAATACGTTTTATCAAGCTCTCTTTAATTATCAGTGTTTTAATCCTTTCATTTTAAACAGCAGAAAACATTATTACTGTATGAAAAGTAACAATTTTTATTCTATCAATGATCTGGGCTTATTCCCTTCGATTGAAGGAGTTAGTGATGCAGCCATTTAAAAATGAACACCTTCATGTAGCTTATTTTTCAAGTCTTATATTTAATATGTTTAAAATACTTCTTTTTTTGAGGGGGGGCTCCGGTCGTGGGGCCTAAACTCTGGGCGTGGGCACTAGCCCTCAGCTCTTCAGCTCAAGGCTAGCGCTCTACCACCTGAGCCACAGCGCCACTTCCGGCTTTTTTTCTTTTTGCTTATGTGGTGCTGAGGAATCGAACCCAGGGCCTCAGGCATGCAAGGCAAGCACTCTACCACTGAGCCACCTTCCTAGCTCATTATGTTTAAAATACTTAAATTGAAATATTTATACATTGATATACGTTTTGTACTGTTTCCATGGCTCAAGTGTTATTATTCATAAGTATTTTGGGTTATTTAGCTTATTGGTGACTAGTACTTCTTTCTTCAAAGTACACTTTAGACACTTAGAAAGGGGAGGTATTACTGTGGCATCATAACTGGGGCTATACCACCGTCATCCTCCATCTGCTGTTGCCTGCTAACCAGCAACATGGTGGCAACGGTAGTAGTAATTTTTCTTGCTTTACTGTGCTTCTTTTTGTTTCATGTGAAACAGAAATGAGAACCCAGAAACAGTGTGAAATTGGAAATAATGAAAAGTGTTCTGAGGGTAAATCATTATGGGAAAAATAGTCTATTGCAAGGATTTTTAATCATTAAACCATTAAATTGAAAAGAAACAATGATTTTTTTTTTTTTTTTTTTTTTTACTTTTTTATGTTTTTATTTTTGCCGGTCCTGAGGCTTGAACTCTGAGCCTGGGCACTGTCCCTGAACTTCTTTTGCTCAAGGCTAGCACTATACCACTTGAGCCACAGTGCCACTTTCACCTTTTTTGTTTATGTGGTACTGAGGAATTGAACCCAGGGCTTCTTGCATGCTAGGCAAGTACTCTAGCACTAAGCCACATTTCCAGCCCCAAAACAGTGATCTTTTAAGAAGATTTTTTGTTCTCACTTTCCTTCATTGTAATGTCCACATGTAAAGAAATATTGATAACTGAGATGTGTACTTTTTCCCACTTACACTGTCATTTGGCTACTGTGACGTTGGTTTTACTCTTCAACATGAGAGAATGGAAGTAGAAGAAAAGGAAGTTTTGGAGTGATGGGATTACAGGCTCAGAAATATCCTGGCTTTGTTACTTCTTATATTCAGTTGATCTGAATATATGACATTGTTTTCTTTTTTCCTAGTTTAGTTACTCTCAAAAAATCATTTATTATATCCTAATAAATATAAAACTTTTTTCAGGTATTGGGAATATCTGTTCTACTCTTAATTTTATATTGAGTAATTTGTGCAGTAGAATTCTATCACTAATTTGACCTGAAATTTTCTTTACAAGAGCATTCCTGTCAGGTTATTCTAATGATCACAGAAGTTTTTTTTCCCCATATTTGCTGAATTGATCAGTCACGTATTAAGAAGTATAGGATGGAGCCAGACATGGTAAAAATACATCTATAATCCCAGCTATTACAGATATAGATTCATCACAAGTAAGGTGAGGCCAAGCAAAATTAGGGTGCCATTAGCTCAGAAACAATATTCCAACAGGACTGGGAGTGTGGCTCAAGTGTGCCAGGTCCTGGGTTCAATCTCCAGTACTGCAAAGGTAAAAAAAATGGGGAATGAGTAAGATTATAAGGTTAAAATATAAAAGTAACTTTTCTCCTTTTGAATACTTATTTCCTTTTTTTGAATGAATTGTCTATTGTGATTTCCATTTTCTTAACAGACAACTACAAAACTTCTAGATGGCACTCATCAGCAGCATGGATTTCTATCTTTGACATATACAAAAGCCGTAACAAAAAATGTCCGCCATAAATTAATATCAAGAAATGAGCGAAGAAGTTTTCATAAGTTCTCTGAAGGTTTGACAGATGGTTCTCCTCATTTTCTTCATGAAATTCTTCTTTCAGCACAAGCCTTTGATATTGTCCTTTGTTTTCCTTTACTAAATGCCATTGCAAGTATATTTCAAGCCAAACTACCAAGGACCCAAAAAGAGAAAAGAAAATCTTCTGGTCAGCCTATGAGGATTCATACACTGACTTCACATAATTTACCTTTGATTTATATAAACACAAGTGTAATCAGAATTTTTTTCCCCAAAACAGAAGAAATACAGTCAACTGTTGGAGGTATTGTCTTTTGTTCTTTTTCTGTTTTGCCTTGAAATAATTTCTTTTTCATAAATCTTAGTTTTCTGGGTGTTGTTTATTTACTACTAGGAAGTTCTTTGCAGACCTTTAGAAAGTGGAATGTTTTAGAAAGGGACCATAATAGTTACTTTATAATCAAATCTGTATAAATTATATCCAGACACTATCTGGCTCCAGTAATTAAAAGAGTAAGAAATCTGACCTTAACTTTGACTATTACAGCTGCTGTATATGTTCTGTTACTGAGGCTTGAACTCAGTACTTTTTTTAAAGTATATGTTTTTTATTGTAAAGATACTGTACAGAGGGGTTACAGTTACATGAGTAAGGTAATGAGGACATTTCCTATCGAGCATTGTTACCTCCTCCTTTGTTTTCCCCTACCATATCTTCCCTCCCCACCTCCTCACCCCTTCCCTCCTCTGTCCCCCGAAGTTGTGAAGTTTGTTTTTAACACAATGTCTTGTACATCTCATTGTTACAAGGGGTCAACCTGTATCCTTATTTCAGCATTTTGTTATTTCCCTTTCCCTTCCCAAATTAGAAAAATGTGCATACAAGATGCAGGGCACCACAATCAAATACATTGAAAACGGGTTATACCATGGGCAAGAACATACAAAAGAAACAAATCACACAGTATATTGTAAGTACATTAAAAACAACAGCAAGAAAGATAAAACCTCTTGTGTCCCTATCTTGGGGTTCATTTCACTTAGCATCATCTTATATGGTCATATATACAAAGCTTTTGACCTTTTCTGCTTGTACTAGACATAATTAGTTATTGCTAATAAGGGAAACCATGGGACCTACATTTCTTGGGCTTGGCTTACTTCACTTAATATAATTTTTTCCAAGTCTTTCCATTTCCTAACAAATGGGGCAGTATCATTCTTTCTGATGGAGGCAGAGAATTCCATTTTATATATATATGGAATTATGGAATTATATATATCACATACATATATATATCACATTTTCTTGATACATTCATCTACTGAAGGGCATCTTGATTGGTTCCATATCTTAGCTATGGTGAATAATGCTGGGGTAAATATAGTTGTGCTGATAGCTTTAGTATGGACTTGTTTGTGATCATTTGGGTAAATGCCCAGAAGTGAGATTGCTGGGTCACAGGGGAGCTCTACGTGTAGCCTTTTGAGGACCCTCCATACTACTTTCCAAAGTGGTTGAACAAGTTTACACTCCCACCAACAATGCAGTAGGGTTCCCTTTTGGTCACAGCTCTTGAACTCAGGACTTCGCACTCAGACTTTCACTTAAATCTAATACTTTACCACTTGATTCACACCTGTACTGCTGTCTCTTTAATTGGAAATAAGAGTCTCTTCCATTTGTCTATATGGGAAGGCTTTGAATTCTGATCCTCAGATCTCAGCCTCTTGATTGTCTAGAATTACAGGTAAGAGCCACTGGTGCTCAGCATAAAATTTACACTTTCAGTTGGCCTAGTAGAGTGGTTCAAGGGATTGAAAGCCTGACTAGCAAACCAGGTCCTGATTTCAAAACCCATTTCCAACAAAACACAACACCCAGAAATTTTACTGTTGGATTGTATATATTAAGATAATTGAAATTTGGTTTAAAATAAAATAGTGCTACAATAGCATGCAAGTTCTCTGATAAATATTTACCTGGTGACTGAGGATTAGAAAATGTTACTCAACAGATTACTTATCAGCCTTCTCAGTGTTTATGAAATTATTCTGTTTTTACTTGATTAGGGCTGATAATACCAGTTTCTTTTCCTAGAAAAGTGATTTCAAGCATTTTCTTTTCTTATACATTGAAATAGTTGTTAATCAAATGGACTTTGAACTTACTCAGGCTTGAGTTCAGATCTTAATGTTATCATTTATGATTTTGAAATCTAGAGAGTGTTAATTATTAATTCTATGAATAAAATAGTAATTGTAATTACTAGCTAATAGTAAGCTTATTAATACCTTTTTTAAATGACACTTGGAGTCTAGGTGCATAGTGACAGTCCTATAATGAATGCTAAATGAATGTGGTTATTCTAATGACAAAGTTATATTCCTAAAATTAAAGTAGAATTCTGAATAACTTTGTTTTTTTTTGGGGGGGGGTCCAGTAGTGGGGCCTGAACTCTGGGCCTGGGCGCTGTCCCTTAGCTCTTCAGCTCAAGGCTAGCACTCTACCACTTGAGCCACAGCGCCACTTCCAGCTTTTTTTTTCCTGCTTATGTGGTGCTGAGGAATCGAACCCAGGGGCTCAAGCATGCAAGGCAAGCACTCTACCACTGAGCCACCTTCCCAGCCCAGAATTCTGAATATCTTACATTTTGATATCACATATACCACATTGGCCAAATTTTAACCCTGTCATTTGGTTCTTCTACAAAGGAAGTTGAGATAAAGTCTTTCATTATAAGCCTGTTCCTGTGAGCATACAAATAATGAAAAAAAATTTACAATGCTTCCCAGATTAGATAATTCATTAGCAATAAAAATTTATTTAACACAGTTCTGCGTTAGATAAAAGTACCATGAGATTCACTGTCCGAAGAGGGAATTTCTCTCATTCTGAGCTGGCACCTTATCACTGTGTCCTCACATGTCTAGAGACTGGAAATGCAGAAAGGGATAAATCCACTCACGAATGTTTTGTATATGAGGATGGAGTTCTTATGGCCCAATTATTTCCCAAAGAACACATTTCTTAAATCCATCATTTTGGAATTTTAGCTGTTACATATATATTTGTGGAGGGACATGTATATTTTAAATAATAGCATATGCAAGGTAATAATTCAGACCCTATAAATTTGAGGTATGTTTATTTGAAGGTCAGGTAATAATCTATACCACATAAATGAAGCAGCATTGTTTTCATATTTTGTTCTTGAAATCATTAGTTTGAGAGGAAGACCTTGAATATTCATGATGATAAATAACAAAGGAAAAGCACCTGGCTTCATTTTCTTTCTTCTTAAAATATAGTTCTTTCTACCTACCATTAATGCATTATCGTAATTGAGGAAGGTTTTCTGCCTCTGTTAATTTTTAAAGTTTATTAAGAGACTGATTTTAGAGTTAAAAAGATGTTCACAGAGCTTTATAGACTTTAATTGCCATGGTGTCTAGAGCTTTATTCAATATGTTATCCTTATGGATTTTTTTGTGTGTGGGTACCAGGACTTGAACTTGGGCTCTGGAACTGTTGCTTGGCTTTTCTTTGCTCATAACTAGCCCTTTACCATTTGAACCACACCTATATTCCAGCATTTTTCTGGTTAATTATAATGGTATCTTGCTTTTGCCTGGGTTGACATCCAACCATCATTGTCCATGTCTCAACCTCTTCAGTAGCTAGGATTAAAGATATGAGCTTACTTATGGATACTCAGTGCATGCTGATTCCTTCATTTTATATCTAACTTTTGCCAGGGACTGTATTAAGGTTGAATCTGCTTTGAAATGTGAAATTATTATTATTTTCTGAATATGCTATATTCTGTCAGTTTTACTCATTTGCTTTCTTCTGTTCAGTTAGTTAATGGAAACACATGCATGGTAAAAATAATAATTAGAAACTCTTGTTTTTGAGCAATTCCAAATGATTTAAGGCACAGATTGTTAGCCAGAAAGTAAAAACAGAATATTGTAGATAAAGTAACCTTTATATGTTTGCTATTTTTTTTTAATTTATTTATTTTTTATTGTGAAAAACTGTACAGAGGGGTTACAATTACATGGACAAGATAATGAGTACATTACTTATCAAGCATTGTAGCCTCCTCCTTTGTTTCCCCTTCCCATCCCTTCCAAGCCTCCCCCCATCCCCCCCACCAAAGTTGTAAAGTTCGCTTTCAACATGACAACTTTTACTTCTCATTGTTGCAACGGGTCCACCTGTATCCTCATTTAAATGACTTGTTTTTCCCCTTCCCCTTCACAGATTATACCGACATCAAATACAATGAAAGCAGGGGTTATACTGTGGGGGAGGGACATACAAAGCAACAAAGAAATAATCATATAAATGCGTTAGAAACAAATGCATGAAAGCTATTGTTTTTATTATGTGAATATATAATGAAGTTTTGGGTAAAGTCATCTATGTTACATTAAATTACAGAGATTAAAAAAGAAGAAAGGGTACATTTGCACAAGATAATTCTCTCTGGGTTTCCATGGCTCATGTTTGTAATCCTATCTACTAAGGAGACTGACATCTGGAGGATTATAGTTCTAGGTTAACCAGGGGGAAAAGGTTCATGAGACTGTACCAAGCAGGGTGATGAGTTCTGTTCTTGCATCTTCTAAAGAAAGTATAAATAGAAGGGTCAGAGTTCTAGTTGACCTGAGCCAAGAAAGACCCTATTTCACAGAAAAACAGCAAAAAGGGCTTACAGTATGGCTCAAGCTGTAGAGTTGCCTGCCTTGCAAGTGTTAATCTGTAAATTCAAACCCCAGTCTATAAAAAATAAAGAGATAAGGTAAGGACAAATGAAGTTAAACATAAATAGGAATGAGACAGTGTCATTATTTCTGATGGAAGCATAGAAATCCATTTTGTATATATACCACATTTTCTGGATTCATTGCCGCATTTGTAAGGAAAAGGAAAGACTTAGAAAAAATTATATTAAGCAAAGCCAGGCCCAAAGAACCATAGATTGCTTGGTTTCCCTCATTTGTAGTAATAGAATGTGCCTATGAGTTTACATATAAACCAAGTAGATAGTAAAGATAAAAAAATTACACTTAGACATGGTAAATTATATAAGACTAAATATTTACATAGTGAGACCAAAGGAAGTTATTCTTAGGAGAGGATCACAAGGACTCAATATTTATATACATATGATCATATAAAATAATGCTTATTGAAATGAAGTTCAAGAATGGAAGCAAGAGTTTTTTTATGTTACTATTGGTGGTTCTTTGATTTTCTGTTTTTTTCTCTTGTCCCTGTTTTTGAGGTCTATACCTTTTGTCTTATATGTAAGCTTAATCTGATTTGGGGAAGGGAAAGATTAAGCACAGAAAGCAGTGGGGTAAAGGGTGAACTAATACAGCAGTGATACTCATACACTATGTTGGAAATCAGCCATAATATAACGAGGGGAAAATGAGGAGCAGTGACACCGTTAAAAAAAAAATGTACTCATTCCCTGACTTGTGTAACTGTAACCTCTCTGTTACATCACCATTACAATATAGGCTGCAGACATAGTAGATAGAGCACTTACCTCTCAGGTGGGAGACTGTCTAACACCTCAGTATCAAAAATGTTCTAGTAAGATGCAAGTGGTAAGTAGTAAATTAGTAAGATGAGCACAATATTAATTTCATTCTAAAAAAACTTTGAAGAGTTTGTTGGAGTACTATTTTATCAGATTAATTAAATTGATAATATGTATAAGTTGTCTTGAGTAATAATATATTAAATGATTCGGCATCAAACTTCTCCACAGAAGCATTATTAAAATATGATAACACTTTTTGTCATGATAGAACAGTCTGTGTCATAGATGATTTATAAATAAACATTTACTCAATGTTATTAAGTTCCACATTTTTTGAATATGCTTTTGGTCTTTACCAACATGACAATAGCTCATTAAAACTTTTTGTTGATAGCTTTGGGTAGAGCTTTCATAATAGTTATGGTTTTATAAAATTTCATATTACACAGTGACAATTTCAAATCACCTTTGGCTTTAGATATTTTACTATAGTGCATTTGTAATGAGAATCTTGAAAAGAAGTTGAAATTACAGTTTTAGTTCACATTTGATGTTAAAATTTTAGTCATAAACCATGTTTTATATTCTATGAGAATTGCATCAAAATTCTGTTCTTTTTTACTTTTTGGTTCTTGGTGCAAGATCCTGATTCCAGAATTTCTTATATTCTCCTCATACATACATACATATTCTCCTCATACATACATACATATGTAAACATTCATGCCTTATTAGCTCCAAGATGGATAAAGTCTTTCAGAAGTACAATTCAAGTTACACTAGCACAATTTTTAATTATATGTTTATGATCTTTAAATAGTTGTACAAAGGAGTTACCATTCATTAAATCAGTTTATGAATCTTGATTGAGCTACAGTTCAAGTTAAACTAATATAAATTTTAAATCATACATCAAATTTAAAGATAAAATGTAATGTATTTAACATTTAAAAATTTTAATTTTTAACCTAGTATTTTAATTTTTTAATCTAGTATGAGTCTTCCAGGGTTTCTCATGAGGCTCAGTTTTTAAATATAGTTAAGGCAAAGTAGGAAAACATTCATTTTTATGTTGGAAGTGCTTTAAGAGGGAACATTTCTCATATGCCCCAACTATTAAATGCAGGTGACATGAACTCAAAAGGGATGTTGGGGTTTTTTTCAGCCAAATGAAAAAAAGTAACTGAGTAAATGAGTCAAAGTACACTCTTACTTAAATACATATTTTTATTATCTTTGCTTACATATCAGTGGAATCTTTTGATAAGTTGAAAACTTTTGTAATAAAATTATTATTTTAATTTGGTTTTCAAGTGATGTACATTAAGTGCTTTATATATTATAACTTCCTAGTGAATATAATCTACTGAGAGCACTTTTGCCTCTAACAGAAACAATTCTCTTCTTGGATCTGGCTTTGTATGTAATACAAAGTACATCATTTTTCTCCCATGTGCACCTCATTTGTTGCAGTGTTTCTATTACAGTTCAAACTTTCATCTGATAAGTTGTAAGCCTGGAAGAACAGTTAGCAAGTATCCTAATTGTACAATTTCCCTTTGGCGATAGAGAACCTATTCCCTAAGTTTACTGTTTGTTGATTTAATTGATGCTTGTTGCTTAATTAGAGATTTTGCCCACATGTAAGTATTTGATAAGTTTGGCATCAAATGCAAGATCTATGAAATGTAAACAGTGTTTATTGTATAAGAACCTTTAATCAAGCTAGTATTCTAGTTACTTGAAAATAGTGCAGCTGCATGAGTAGTAGTTTTCAGTTTGATCTGTTTTGCAGTGAACATTAGCAACTGTTGTCTTTACTCTGGTTTTGGTGGTTTTGTTGTTGTTGTTGTTTTGCATGCTATGTTAGGTTACTTCACCGTTTTTTCCCCCTTCTTTTCTCTGCTTACTCTTCTCCTACTTCTCCTCCATTTTACCTTCCTCTACCTTTGTCTTCTTGTGGATTCTGCTTTCCTTCTTTGAATATCTTTCTTCTTGATTTTTCCAAATTTCGTCATTCCAACTTTCTCTTTTATGGACTAATCTAAGTCAGACCGTACTAAGTGTATTGCTGAAGCAGCTGGAAATAATCTCCTAGATTTTGCATTCTTTGGATACCACATTTTGGGAAATATGGATTGTATGCTTTTGTAGGCAAGTTCTATTCAGGATATTCCTTGCAGCCAGTCCCTCTCTGTTCTATTTGTGGAAGATGATAGTTGTTGAGGAATTTTGAATTTTGTTTTTGTTTGTGTTTTTCATTCCTCGATCCTCACATGCTAGGCAAGCATCCTGCCGCTGAACTATAACCCATCCCTATAAATTTTACTGCATATTTACTTCAAGATCCAGAATCTTATATGTTTTTAACAATTTTTAAATAGTTGTAAACATTGTTTTTATAGCCACAATAATAGTTATTGTTTGAAAATAAAGCAGTAAATTTAAATGAATCCCTATCCATCAAGAATCCTTATCCATCCCAAATAGTCCTTAGAAAAGACATGGATTAGAAAATGGGTTACAGAAAAAATACTGAGCTTTATAAGAACCTAGAGTTAACTAGAGTTAACTGCTATTGTACTCAGTACAAAGAAACAAGGTAGGACTCATACATCTTTTTACCTTTTTTGTTGTTGTTATCACCTTACTTTTAAACTTTATTAGGAGGTAGAATTTCTAAATAGGGATGAAGTTAACTGCTTCTCCAGCAGTTTCCCCATAGAAATTATTAAAATTAAAAAGTACATAAAAAAGTTCTTATTGTTCTTTTCCCATCATTTCTCTCCTGTAATTAACTATTTTATTTGCAATTTTAGTAACTGCAGCTATATTTATCTTGAATTTTATGACATTTGAGAACTTACGTGCTATACTATATGTCTGTGTGTATGGCAATATGTTTTATATTTCTTTTAATCATACAGGTTTGTATCATTTTGAGTGTTTGTTGCTAACTTTGTTGATTTTTTTTAATGCTTGTAGGTAGTAATGCAATGTTTAAAAACTAGGACTAAAAGTCATGTGGGAGAAATATACATTTGTGCAAGATTGTGAAATTAAACATATGATTTTATATGCTTATATATATGCTGAATATCATATACTCTATTTTTCGGTATAGATTTTCTGATTATTGTAATGCTAATTTAATTTTGTATTTAGCAGAAATAAAATTTGAAATAGAATTAGGAAAAGTATTACACATTTTTACTTTCAACATAATTTTTTGCGTTTTTTTGTGTCTATACTTGTAAGTTTCCCATCATTTGTCTCCATCCCATTCCTGCAAACATTTTTCTTTGTATGAAGTTATGTACAGATTCACATTGTGTTTTTGTGTCACTTTTTTTTTTTTAACAGTTACTCCGGCAGCATTCGAAGACACCATGGTTTTGAAGATAGGCTCTGTTGCTATGGCTCCTCAAGCTGACAATCCTCTTGGAAGGTCTGTCCTCAGAAAAGATATTTACCAGTAAGTTTATTTTCTTATGTTCAATCTTGCAAGTTTCATCCTGCAAGAAGTACAGTGATCAATAAAACTTGCTTAGTGTGGCCTGTAGAAATTCTTCTCATTCAGGATCTTTTGATATTTAAAACCAGGTTTTTCTGATTTCTTCAGTTGTGGGTTTTTAAATTCATTCAGACAAATCAAGTATTTCTGTGAAGTGTTGATGAATAACAGAGTGTAAGTACCAAGACGCCATAAAACTGAAGAAGCATAGTTTGGAAAATTTTAGAAGGCTTCAAATTTGACCAAAATTCTAATCACATAAGAAAATGAGGTTCTCTGTAGAACCACCACATCCTACTGTAGTCATGTTGTATCAAAGTGAAGCATTTTCTTAATTTAAGTGTAAGCCATTACTTGAAATATAGGACTATGGATGTCATATGGATCAAAGCTGTAAAGAAAAGCAAACTTCTAAGGAGAAATTTCATAGTAAACACTTTCTGTGAAAATGCCGTGCTCTGGATTTTGTCGTTGAGCGTTTGCAAACCACACTAAGCATATATAGACAACTAAACTGGAGAACATGTGTAATCAACATGATAAAAATAATACATAATTGTACTGAAGTTGGCACTGATGGCAGACATAAAAGCAATGTTACAAATAATACCAAGTGAGAAAACTTACAGAAATACAGATGAACAAGTAAGTGTCGTCTTTTCCTTGCTGGTCTGTTTTTCACATGTTTTAGTCTCATTCTTTAAAAACTATATTCAAACATTTCTCCTGTAAATGTTACAGCTATGAAAAGATTATAATTTTTTTATATATACTTACTACCTAGAAATGACATGTATCTTTACATTTTTTTATTTTTTTTTTTATTTTTGCTGGTCATGGGGGCCTGAACTCTGGACCTGGGCACTGTCCCTCAGCAATTCGGCTCAAGGCTAGCACTCTACCACTTGAGCCACAGTGTTACTTCTGGCTTTTTCTGCTTATGTGGTGCTGGGGAATCGAACCCAGGACCTCATGAATGCAAGGCAAGCAAGCACTCTACCACTGAGCTACCTTCCCAGCCCCTATTACATTTTTTAAAAATAGTCTGACTGTATATCTCGGCTTGGTCTCCATCTTGCAAAACACTTTCAATTGTCTGCACTTAGTCTCCCAAGTTCTTGGATTACCATGGCTACCATGCCTAGCTTCTATTTTTATTTGTATATTCAAAAATTATATTTCTAAAATGCTCTAATATGGGAGTTGACACTTTTTTCCCTTCAACTTATATATCTTCATCACTTCTTTATACCAATTTTTATGTATAATATATGGTATTCATGTTTAAATAATTTTTATTTAGCAAGGCTTAGATAAAATCTTAGAATGTCAGAGCTAAAGGAGTTTTTAGGAATCATCTAATGATTCCACCTTCTTTAGTATTTTGAAGATTATGTAACAGGATTCAAAAAGAGTAGTTGTCACTAGTCATTAGTGATACAGTTAACATTACAGTTCTTATATCTGACATTAAGGCCAGGGGTATAGCTCACCTAATGAATGCTGAGTTCTGGGATGGAAGCTTTAACCCCACAGTAGGATTTAAGTAGTTATTAAGAGAACTAATTTGGATTTCATTTATAACATAAATTCTTAAAGTTTTCTAAAGTTCATTCTTTCACATGAATTTATTTTTTACATCTTAAGGAGTTAATGGTCTTTATATAATGTTTTACTTCTTATTTGGCATAAAAAAATCTATATTAAAATATCTTGGGCTGGGGAAGGTGGCTCAGCTGTAGAGTGCTTGCCTTGGATGCATGAGGTCCTGGGTTTGATTCCTCAGCACCACATAAAGCAGAAAAAGCTGGAAGTGGCGCTGTGGCTCAGGTGGTAGAACGCTAGCCTTGAGCTGAAGAGCTGAGGGACAGTGCCCAGGCCAGAGTTCAGGCCCCATGACCAAAAAAATAAATAAAAATACCTTGTCACCATTAAAAAAAGCAAACCACTGATACATTTCCTTTCTTTCTCTATCCTTTGTACTTTGAGCTCTTTTGTTAATTGTGTCATTATTATTATTATTGTTGTTGTTGTTTGTATCAGTCCTTGGGCTTGAAGTCAGGGTCTGAGTGCTGTCCTTAAGTGATTTCACTCAAAGAGAGCACTGTGCCACTTGAGCCCACCTCCACTTTTGGTGGTTAATTGGAGGTAGAGTCTTTCAGACTTTCCTGCCTAGACTGGCTTTAAATCCTCATATCTCAGCCTCCTGAGTAGCTAGGATTACAGATAAGAGGCATCAACACCTGGCTCAGTATCATTACCTTTTTTAAACTCAGCTTATATTTTGGTAAGATAGTTTATAATAATTTTTTAAATTTTTCATTGTTTTTATAAAGGTGACATATGGAGAGGTTACTGCTGCATACTCAAGAAAAGAGTATATTTCCTTTAGGACAATGCCATTCTTTCCCTTGATGTCTCCTAGTTTTTCTCTCTCATCCTCACCCACAAGTTGTATAATTCATTTTCAACAAAGTATCTAGTACGTACTTCTGCTGCTTTTCTCCCCCACCCTTTGTCCCTCTATTTCTGTGCTTTCCCTTATACTCCCAAAGACATATAAATGAACAAACAGAAAAAAAAGGAATGAAGACAAAAACAACAGAAAAGAAATTAAAAAAAAAACTCTTGTTTTCATTTCCTGGAGTTCATTTTGACAAATATTATTTTATATGATCAGATCTAATTATTCTTTTTTAAAAATTAATTTGTTGTTATTATAGAAGTGATATACAGAGGTATTACAATTACATAAGTCAAGTAATGAACTTATACATTTTTCCCCTGTCTCTTTCTGACACTTCAGTTTTCTTTACATCTGCTTTCTTAAAACCTCTTTAATGTTAGTATCCCTCAGGGTGTTTCTTTTATTTGTTTATGCCCATTTCTTCTTGGGTAAATCTATCAGCTGCCTAGGCTTAGGAAAAATTGAGTTTCAAGAATGTATAGTAACTTTGAAGGGCCCCTCTAGCCTAAAGTTAGGGATATGTGTTAGAATATCAAAATATAATCTTTAGCATCCTAGATGACATGCTCTGCCTACTTGTTTTCCCCTGAAAGTTCATGTTCCAGAGTCATTTATACAAACCTAAACTACAAAAGGTATTTACATAGGAATTCATCAAAGCAATTTTAAATTCTCATTGAAATTCTGTGTCATCAACATCAGAGGAAAAATAGCAGGAAATAGAAACCACAACAAATGAAGTAATCAAAGTAGGAGTGGCTCAATTAGGATAAAAATGAATACATCAACTTATAAAGAACCTGTTTTCTAGGTCTTATTATTTTTATGATTGTATTTAGCCATAATATCTCAGTGGATATTTTTTAAAAGGCCACCTTTGTATGATTCCATTCATATGAAATTTCCAAAGCAGGTAGAACAATAGAGACAAATATAAATTAGTGTTTCCTAGGGAATGAGAACAAAGGAAAATGAGGAATCATACTAATGAGGATGGAGTTTATTCTGGACGATAAAAAATTTTCTAGAATTACATAGTAATAACAGCCAAAACTATCCTGAAAGGGAAATATGTCAGATGGCTCACATTTCTTGAGTTTTAAACTTAAGGCAAAGAAAAGGTAATGATGATAGTGTTGTATAGACATATAGAACAGTGAATAGATTTGAGTCAGAAATGGAGCATCTCATTTCCTATCAGTTTATTTTTGATAGAAGTGACCAAAATAAATCAATAGTAAACTGTAGTCATTTCAATAAATACTACTTATATTGCCATATACCAAAAGCCTGAAATTTATAGAACAAATAGGAGTAAATATTTCTGACTTGGAATTCAATAATGGTTTCTTAAATATAACACCAAAACACACGGTACAAAGAAAAATTTAGATAAATTATACTTTGCCATATTTTTCTGACTTTTCAAAAATGGGGAAATGCAAAAGAATAGGAGAAAATACTTGGAAATTATACATAATATAATATATAGATAAAATCAGAATCGTGTCTAGAATATGCAAAGTAACAAATGGAAACAAGTCCCAACTTAAAACTGGGCTAAGGTATGAGCATGTTGGCTCATGTCTATTATCTCAGCTACTTAGGAAGTAGAAATAGGAAGATTGCAATTCTAGGCCTGCCCAGGCAAAAAGTTCCTCAGACCTTGTCTCAAAGAATAAGCCAAATGTGGTAGCTCAGGTCTATTTTTTCATTTATATAAGTAATAGAAGGAGAATTGTGATCTTAGGCTGCTCTCAGGCAAAAGTATGAGGCTCTGTCTGTATAGAAGGACAAAATGTGTTTGGTTTGGCTCAAACCAAACTTGCGAGTTCAAAGCTCTGAGTTCAAACCCCAGTACTTGTGAAAAGTAAAAAAATAAATAAAAATAGGTGAGTTAGGCACATGCCTGTGGTCCTGTTTCCTCAGGAGGCTGAATGAGAGGATCTCAGTTTGAAATCATCCTAGGCAAATTCTACTTAACTATCATAAAGCTGACTGAAGGCATGGTTCAAATGGTAGAGCACCAACTATGAGGAAGCAAGTTGAATAAGAGCATAAGGCACAGAGGTCAAGCTCTATAACTGACAAAAATGTAAATAAGTACATAAATAATAAGCAAATAGATAAAAGGGGAAAAGAATCTTACTAAATAACTGAAACATGAAAATGATTGATAAGAACATATAAAGATGTTTAAAATTGTTAATAAGCAAAATGCAGTACTTTTTAGCTCCTTTTTCTATGTGTATATATGTCTGTCTTAAATAATAGATATCCTCTACTAGTGTTCTATAGTTGTTTGAACTCACTAATATATTGTAGTCATCCTCTGATTTGATCATATTCAAGAATGCTTGTTTTTGAACTGTTTAGATAGTATAGTGTCTAAAAGATTCTGAAACACTAAGCACTGCATTTTGTTGTGAACCAATTAAATATTTTTCACTATTAAAAAGCCTTCCTAAAGCTTGTCTTGTTTGGAGTATTATGA